GAGAAAGAGACGCGAAGAAGACGAAGGAATCTTGGGCGAATATTCTTGTGGGGAAAATTGCTCCCACAAGAAGCAATGAGAAAAGTGTCCATCCAGTAAAATCCAAATTCTAACGTTTTCCCCTCCTTACCCACAATTCCTCGGCAACCAAACTGCCAATAAGTAAAACACAGTTAAAAGCAGTATCATAGCAAGGACACGCGAGAAAAATAGTCTCATCTATAATGTACGAAAAGAAAAGGTAACTTATTTGTGATTCCGAGCTAACTAAATTTGTATTTTAATAGTATTAGTAAGTAATCAACTAATTTAATTAGTTAGTTCCTGGAAGCGGCTTCTTCACGTGACGTATGTAGATTTTTGAGCTTTCCCGGGCTGGAGAGGGGGTATAAATGTAATTGCGGTGGCTATTTTGGCTGTAAATCAGCAAACTCACCTTCCCCAAGAAACTGTCAGAAGAAACCCATGAAATTTTTCATCCACTTTCTCGGGAAATGGAAAATGTCTGCGAAGCTTTTCTGATCTTCTGCCAAGTCGGTAAGTGTTATTTCATTACTTTATCTTTCGTTATCTTTCTAGCATTTCTGATTTACAGTTTTGATGATCAGCCTCTTCATCATTTTTTGTCCTTTTTCAGATCTGCCCAATTTTCTTCCACTTTCCTGAGAAACGCTACTTTCTCAAGAAAATGTCTCCAATACAGTGAATTTCGGTAACATGTCCATTAAATAACTAAATATTTTGTTCGATTCAAAGCGTTTCTTGTTCTAATTCTTCATCGGTTTTTAGAGGCACTGCAATTTTCCCGAGAAACTCTACTTTCTCGAGAAAATATCGGGATTGCATGCATGCAAGTGGCTTCGGGATTGTAAAAACAGGTTAGCAAATAGTCATTAGCTATATTTTCTCTGCATGTTTTATAGAGTAGAGTCTGATATGGTTTCCATAATATTCAGAGACTTCAGGCATTCCAGAGTTCGGACTTGATGAGATACTAGAATTTGTTATTCCTGAACCCAGGCTCAGCTATCTCAACCGTCTTACTTCTACAAACTCCATATACTCTCGGAAATCCAGGTATCAGATCACCAGAGATCTGAGGCTTTGTTCAGAAAAATTATACGCACTCTACAAAATACATGAGAAGATTTTGGCCACCGGAGATGACAAAACCTGGAACACGGCGTACAAGCATCTCGTTAATGGCTTACCAGACATAATGAAGGTAGCGGACGTCGTGGTGGAGCACAAGAACGACATCTTCAACTTGTTGGAAATTTGGCTCTCATTAAGGATGCTTGTGGAACAGGGGGCGACCGATCGTTTTTACACAGTCGAAGAAGTTTGAGAAAAGCTGGAGCGACCAGTCGCAAGGTATCCAAAAGGTATCCGCGACCGGTCGCACGCAGTGCTGTTTCGATTTTTCCACGCGTTTTTCAGGTTTTCTTCACATGTGCTTGTTCCCTACCTAATCCCTCGAGCTTCCAAGTGTTTTATGGGTTCTAGGAAGTTTGGCAATGTGCCTTAAAAGCTGGAACACCATTAAATGTTGTTTGTTGACTTGTACCAAAGGGTTTTCTAGGTGGGAGACAAGGGACAAAAGGGTGCATACTTTATGGCTTGTTTTCTGGCTTGCCTAACCTTTGGTTTAGATGGATAGCTGAAAGCAAGAACGTGAAGGAGTAATTGCAGCCCTCTATTAAGTCCAATGGTCTGTCTACAAAAGAAAGTGAAGATGCAAGACAACAAGTGTGTGGTTAATCTCAAGGAGTGATCAAGTAGCTGGGAGCTATTGTGTCCAAAGGAGGTTTAACTCACTAAGAGAGGAAGAGAGAGAGGGAAGTCAGTTCAAGTTTGGAGCTGAGTTGAGTCTTGAAAGTCTAGACACCAAAGGAGGGAAACACCAAGGGTTGTGAGAGTGTTCACAAGTGCATCAAGTGTTGAGCAAGGGGTGAGAGAGAAAAGAGAGCTTGGGGAGAGAATAGAGTTCTAAGGGGGTTTCTTTGTAAACCAAAGTTGCAACTTATTCTTTCATTAGTGAATTTCTCAAGGGGATCACCAAGAGGATGTAGGCAATTGCTGAACCTCTATAAATACTTGTGTCACTTTGTGCTTGGTTGGTTGCTCAAGTGTGTGTGTGTGTGTGATTTATCCATTATTGTGTTTGTCATAAAATCCATCAACAACAAGATCATTAGGGGAGTGAGTGAAAGTGTTTGTCCATTTTCATCAACAAGTGGTATCAGAGCTGAGTTTGAGCAGCATGTTCTAGTGTGTTGAAGATGGCAAGTGACAAGGAAGCTCAAAGTGGAAGTAGCTCTAGGCAACCACAAGCTGTCACCATGAAGGTGGAGTTGAAGCCTTTCACAGGGTAGGAGAACTTCACACTATGGCAAAGGAGGATGAAGTCAGCCCTTACACAACAAAATCTCAGTGTTGTCTTGGGAGGCAAAGAGAAGAAGCCAGCAACCATGACAGACGCGGAGTGGGGTGTTCTAGACGAGTTGGCTAGAGGAGCCATCGAGAACTACATCGCAAATGAGGTGCTCATCAACGTGATGTAAGACACAGCGAAGCAAACATGGGAGAAACTCGAAGAGATGTTTGTAGGGAGGTCGTTGTCCAACAAGCTCTTCCTCAATGAAGAACTCCTAAATCTTCGGATGGAGGAGGAAGGTAATCTAATGGAGCATTTGAGCAGCTTTAATAGATGTGTTGCTGATTTGCAAAGAATGGAAGTGTTGTATAATACGGAGGATAAGACACTCATGTTTCTAACATCCTTGCCTCCGTCTTATAAGCATTTCCGAACAACGCTTATGTTCGGGAAGAGTACTTTGAAGTTTGAGGATGTGGTGCAAGATGTGATGACGCATCACCGAATGTCCCAACGTTCGGAGGAGAACTCTCAAGATGCGGGTCTATTCGCAGGGAATCGATCAAGCAAGCGTGAAGGCAAGAGAAACAACAGGAGGAATGCTAAGTCCAAGGACAATGAAGGATGCTTCGAGTGTGGGTCTAAGGATCATTGGAAGTGGAATTGTTCAGTATGGAAGGAGAAGATGAAGAAAGCTGGAAGTTCAGCCAACGTGTGTGATGAGGACACATGTGATGAACTCTTAATCATTACGGAGGAGAGTAATGGGGAAGTCATAGCAAGTTCTTCTTGCATGCAAGATTAAGTTAAGTAAGGAAGGTTCATCATCAAAGGTGCTTGAATTCATTAGCGCAGAAGGTGAAGTCAAGACAAAGAATGATGAGGAGGATGTTGTTAAAGAAAAGCTTCTTTCTCACATCACCTTCCTCACCTTCCTCACCTTCTCATATCACATCTTACTTTCGCTGCAATGTCAAGAACCCATACGATTCTCCATCTTATTGCAGACTCACAGAAGCATGCAGTCAACCCAGACTCCTTCTTCTATCACCACCACCAAAGGTTCTACTCTTCATACGTCCTCCGAGATCAGATATTGCATATGCTGTGAGTGTGGAAGAGTATTTCATGACTCACTTACCAAGTTGGGCATTCGTGACATATATGCACCAACTTGAGGAGGAGTGTTGACGTGAGTCTCCTAATTAATCAAGAAGATTTACTTCCTTGATTAATTAAGAGATTTACTTTCCTATTTTTTATATAAGTAATAAATCATTGTACAATTAGGAGATACTTTTCTAATTCTTTACTATATATAATTCCTTGTAAAACCCTCATATGTAAACTCCTATATATACCTCCTTATGGAGAAAAATAAAATACAACCCAAAGTATTCAAACCATATTCATATTTTAGCATGGTATCAGAGCCAGGTTCTCTTGTGACCTGTGCTTGCGTTCTTCTTGCAATTTAAGTGCTCTCCTCCCCTCCTCTTCAAGGGGGGAAGGGGGAGTGAAAAAGATATATTTCTCATTCCCAAGAAGATGTTGCTTATTTCTTGACTCCGACGACCCCTTCTCTTCAAGGGGAGAAGGGGAGTGAAGAGAAGTTGTTTTGTCTCTAAACCTTTATCTCAAATTTCTTCAAATTTCTCATATTCAAATCCAAAACCCTAAATCAAATTCCTCATTTTTTTTTCCCCAAATCCAAATCCCTCAAATCTAAAGTCCTCAAATCCTCTTATCCAAATCCCTAAACACATACCATCAAATCTTATACACATATCTCTTAAATCCAATTCCTACATCAAATTCATACATCAAATTTCTCACATCACCTTCCTCAGCTTCCTCACCTTCTCATATCATATCTTACTTCCGATGCGATGTCAAGAACCCATACGATTCTCCATCTTATTGCAAACTCACAGAAGCATGCAGTCAACCCAGACTCCTTCTTCTATCACCACCACCAAAAGTTCTACTCTTCATACGTCCTCCAAGATCAGATATTGCATATGCTGTGAGTGTGGAAGAGTATTTCATGATTCACTTACCAAGTTGGGCATTCGTGACATATATGCACAAACTTGAGGAGTGTTGACGTGAGTCTCCTAATTAATCAAGGAGATTTACTTCCTTGATTAATTAAAAGATTTACTTTCCTATTTTTTATATAAGTAATAAATCATTGTACAATTAGGAGATACTTTTCTAATTCTTTACTATATCGAATTCCTTGTAAAACCCTCATATGTAAACTCCTATATATACCTCCTTGTAAAGCCCACCAGCCGAACCCTATAATCTTTGGGGGGCAAGGAAACACTAGCAAATAATGCTAGATAGGTACCTCAGTGAGTTTCGAACCCCCAACATGGGTTCCCCAAACTAGTCCCCCAACCACTGGATCACAACTCACGGGTATATTAACTACTTTATTTAGGTCCACTAAAATGATATCTCTATCATATACACGAATATGAGACATCAAAGTAATATTTGATGTAAAGCTTTTTGACATATCTCTTCTAGCCTTCAAATTCATGTAAAATTTAACTACTTGATTTGAGCAACTTTAATCTTCAACTTTTGCCATTTTATATCCATCGATTGGAGATACTCTAAGAAGCTTCTATAATAATACTCAAATTTGGAAGTTTAACAGAGTAGCAAAGCACAAACCCAACACATTCGAACCAAAAAAAAAACACATTCCCCGACGCAGGAAGTACTAGAATATTACAGCATATTAGAAAGAAACCATCTACAGAGGGTCCATATTACAGAGGGACCAAACCAAACTGACGATTCCAACATCAATGGCCCCGGGCCTTACTTGCTACTGCCTCCAAAAAGGTAATCTAGGGATGATCCACCGCCAGGAGCTGCATGCACCTTTGTCGATGGCCGATCCTGTCAAGCACATTTTCAGAATTAAACCACGAATATCCAAAAATACAGGGTAACAAAAGTTTTCTATGTCAAGAAAATTGGTTCTTTCCTGTCACAACATTCTACAATATGCAAATCACAAATCTTAGCCAACAACCTCTTCACGAGGAAAACAGAAACCATGGATGAATATGTTTCTAGAAATGTCATAGGAGATAGAATTCTTAATAAGCAGAGGTACTATTCAGTACAGAAACATCTTCATTAAGGTAGCTAAGGTAGCCAAGAGGCCTGAATATCATCTAAAGGCAGATGTGGCACATACCCCCATCAATATTCTCTCATATTGTTTGTCACAACTTCAAAATTTTAAAGCATAGATATTTGATTCAGATAAAATGATGACTATGAACAAGATCATACCGTGAGGAAGTTGCCACAGTTCTGGCCATCTGCTCGGAAATAGTTGTTTGAAGTGTTCCCGGGAACGCCTGCTGGAGTCTGCTTATTGACTTCTGCAGGTGTTGTTGGAGCAGTAGGCTTCTGAGAAGGTGGTTCAGTGCTTGGAACTGGCGCCTGGTTCTGAGGAGCATCAACCTTCTTTGGGGCGGGTTTTTTAATTTCTTCTCCACCTCCAAAAAGATATCCCAAAGAACTCTCTCCCCCTCCACTGCTGACTCCACGACCCATGTTTTTCGCGTAGAGTGAATGAATCCTGCACAAATGTTTCTAACCAATTTATAAATAAACAAAAAAAAATGAAACTAAAACAATTTCAACTAAAAGTCTTCAGCATTGAATGAATCACAAGAAGAAGCATGAAAATGCCATCACACATTAAACTGTTCTAATCTTGTAATCAAGTTCAGAGTTTGATACATTATGCGCTCTTAAGCCACAATCCATCTCTCCAGAATCAACACCACAACAGTATACAGTGGGGGAAAAAGACTACACCTTATATGTGCCTCAACTTATTTTAAATTAAAACAAAAAAAAATGGTTAAAAGGGAGTAAGAACTAAGAACCTAATATTAGCAAGAACAAATGCAACTCGGAATCTCATATCTAATTTCACTAATCTACAAACAGCACTTGAACATGAAATCCCCACGTCACAGCCAAATGTAACTTGAACTCAGAGTCCGCAATTTGACTTAAATTTGACTTGAAAACAGTAACAACATATGGGATTCAATATATTGCAATTAGATAGCTTAAGAAAACTCACACATCTGCAATCTGAAAAGTTCAAGCGAGGGACCAAGCAATGAGGCAAAAAACCCCCACACACTGTAAATTCATAGAAATAATATGTACTTGAAATTTCAAACCATGCAAACACCAACACACTAAATCATAATAAACCACAAAAAATTAATAACTGTAAGATTCGACAAGAAGAATAAGAAGAGGCGACTCCATAGTAAAAGCACAAGTGTAAACCCCAATGTTCAATATATGTAATTAAAACCAGGGTTACGATACAGATCCACAAAATCTAGAGTAAATTCTAAGCCCTGAATTCCGTTTCTCTAAGTTCAGATGACTTTGATAATTTGAATTCCTACATTTTCTCGAGAAACAAACAAGAGAGCGAGAGAGAGGCAGGCTCACCTGTGTTGTGCTTTGCGGACTTTGGATCGGATCTGAGTCGTGAGCACTAGGTAGTAACTCCAGCGGCAATACTTTGTATATATAGTGAAATTCAAACGGCATGTGGGGCCCATTGTTAGATATTTTCAAAAACAAATCTTTAAACAGAAAATGGGATTCCCAATTTGTTAGATATTTTATTTTCCGCTATTTGGATCTTTTACTATCTATAAATTCTTATATTGATTTCGTAATTATTAGTTGTCACATTTTATCTCAAATTGTAGTAAGAAAAAAATATATATTAGTGTAGTATCAAACAATTAAATTAGTTGATTACTTACTATTACAATACAAAATTTGTTAGCTTGGAATAAAAAATAAGTTGCCTTTTCTTTTCGTACATTAGATGAGACTATTTTTCTCGCGTGTACTTGCTATGATACTTAGTTTCATGACCTACAACTAAATTAATTTTAGATATTATAGTGATATAGAGTATTAAGAAGGTGTTCTTTTTCTCTATAGCACCAGAGAAGAAAGATTTGTACTCAGGATAACATTTTTTAGTTGCTACACTAGGAAGAAAGAAACCCTGGATGCCAAGCAAGGAGAAAGAGGAAGGCCACAGCCATTGTGGTAACTCCGCTCAACTACTTAAAAATATCTTTTAACATTAAAAGAAAATATCAATTAATTGAAATTTGAAAGTAATTAGATTTATGTTAATATTTCAATCGCGACTATTATCATCCAATCTACTATGAATTAAGGCTCAAGTTTTACTCAAACTTAGATCAATACTCAACTTGACTTTTAGTTAGGGCTAGAGTATGGTTATACTTATAAACACATTTACAATTGTCTTAAGATTAAACTCATATATTTTTACCAACCTAAACTTTATGTAACTCCAATATAAGTTACAAGATCGAAATGTTGTTTAATTTGAGCCTGAGTTGAAACTTTAGTTTCACATAGGAAATTATTTATCTTTCGAAAGCCTAAAAAAAGATTTAACAAAAAATATTTTGTGGGGAACATGAATATTTATCTTCAAAAAACAAATTTGATTTTTAAAAAGAAAAAACACAGGGAAAATTGTATTTTGGATGATTCATTTTTGTCCTGACAAAAAAAAGATTTTTTTTTTTTTTTTGGGGGAAAATAAGAGTGTTGTAACCTTTTCTTTATTCTCACGCAGTTCATGCTGAGTTAGAACTTAGAACTTCCGATTGGCACCAACCAGAGGCAGACAACACAAAGAGGAAGGGTTTATGGTAACTTATATATCTTCACACTCTTACTCAGGCTTCGCTAGAGAAAGATGAAAAACCTTAAACGCTCTACAAAGGCATGACCTTCAATTCCCAATTGTTTTTAGGGTTTATTTCCAGGTCCTCCAAATCCTCTAAAGCCAACGGTTTCAATTTGTCTCGCACTCTGATTTGGTAAGTTACACAGCTTGATTATTGACTGCTTGACACTGCTTTTAACTGTGTTTTACTTATTGGTTGTTTGGTTGCCGAGGAATTGTGGGTAAGGAGGGGAAAACGTTAGAATTTGGATTTTACTGGATGCGCGCTTTTCTCATTGCTTCTCATATGAGAAAAGTGAGTGCTGCAATGATTATAGAAATAAATTCGAAATTTTTTGACCATTTTTGCGTTCCACCATGTTGTATTTTGTGGTTAGAATTGTGTTACCGTTGATTGGGTTGATGCAGTTTGATCCGTAGAGTATCATGGTGTGAATGTTCGATTCTAGAAACTTGTTCTCTGTTAGTTGAGAGGTAAAAATGATTGTAATGTAGGTTTGAGGTACAGAAAAGAAACAAATCATAATTGAGAAGTTAGCATTCTCTCGTTTCTTTTGTAATTACTAAATGAAATTTGATATATGTGTGGTTAATGCTGTTGAAAACACTTGTATCACATAGTTCAGTGCATTATACACGGGCATTGCAATAGTTACTGGTTGAAGTTTATTGTTGTATTTTTTTCTCGGAGAAAGTTCTTTTAATCTTCTTTTCACTACACGCTTTATATGCTTCATATTGATTTTAAGGTTTTATGTGGAAGCTTAAGCTGAAGATCAAGCCTGTGCAAACTGGGTTTCATGCAAGGAATTTTTAGTATTGGAAGCATTTGTTAAGTTGAGCCATATGCAATGTATGGCCAAGCTAATTATGGCCATCAGTTTGGGCAGGGTCCTCGGATACCCATGACACCTGTAAACAACCAACAGCGCCCACCAGCTCTGCCTCCACCTCCTGTTCAATACCAACAGGGACCTCCACCCCCTCCGCCTCCTGTAGTTCAGCAGGCTACATCTGTTGTCCCACCTCAGATAGGTCAGCGGGGCCCCTATTTATATCAGCATGGTTTTCCTCCCCCACCTCCCACTGTTCACCAAAGTCCACCTATTCCACTCCGTGGAATACCAAATACAGGTCAATCTTATCTACACCCTCCTCCACCAGGCCATGGAAGTACCTTAATATCACAGTGTTACTCAAATGCTCAGCATAATGTGCAACATCCTTCACATACAGGAACCCAGAATTTTCATCGTATCCAGACATGTCAGCACCACATGGACCATTCCCTCCTCCTCCTCCTCCTCCTCCTCCTCCTCCTCCTGCTGCTGCTGCTGCTGCACCACAAGGACTGACATTGTATAAAACGCTGTATCCTCCACAACCACAGACTGGTGTTGCACAGGGTCTTCAACATATTCCACCACCCCCTGCCTCTCCTGCCTCTAATCGTTTCACTACCACTACATTTGGTAGTTCTGTGCATTTAACTGTCAAAGATTCTCACATGCCTTGCTCGGCTCCCCTACCACCAGCATCTGCTCAACCGCCCTTGGCACCATTGCCCGCCCCTCCACCTTCTTCTTCATCTCCAACCCTTGCTGCTTTCAATTTCTCGGGTCATTCAAACTTTGATCATAGGTTTAATAAACTTCCCATGTCTGAATTGAGGGATCTGGATTCTGTTGATGAAGCCGCAGATAGAAATGAAGTCAGACATATAGCAGCTGTGCATGAGGGCTCCCAAAATTATGAAGGTGGAAGTGGCTGTGAAGCAGGTTCTCTAGCTGGAGATGGATTATCATCAAATGGAAGTTTGATGTTGGTGTTGGATGTTTCTCCACCTCCACCTAAGCCAACAGATGAGAAAGTTGTTCAGAAGATTGAGTTTTTCTGCCATGTTATTGCTAAAAATGGTCCTGGTATCGAAGATTTGACTCGTCAAAATGAATATAGGAATCCAGAGTTTGAATTTTTATTTGGTGGTGAGCCAGGAAGTGGAGCAGCAATTGCCCATGAATACTTCCTGTGGATGAAGAAGAAATGTAATTTGGCTTGTAAGTTGCATGATGGGCCAAATGGATCACCATTGAAGTCTTCGGTGATTGACTCTTCATCTCAACCTGAACATTTGAATGCTTCATCTGGTTATAGCTTGCCTGCTGATTCTGACATGGAGATGGAAGGTTAGCACAAGTGATTTTGCTCTCTCCTCAGTATTCATGATTTGAAAGTTTTGTCACATAATGTGTATATGTTAGGCAGGTTGCCATTTGTGACTTTATTATTTATGATCACGTTATTCTGGCCATATGTGACTGATATTTTTAGTGAACTTTTGGGCATGGAAACCTCTATAGCTATTGCATACTCCAGAAGTGCTTTAAACATGATAATTTTCTGTTTCAATCTTGACCTGATACTTAATATTGCAAAATGCTGAATTGTATTCAATGTCATTATCTATTGTAAATTTGCTTTGAAATTTTCCGTGTATTTGCCAAGTAACTGAAATTGGAGCTGACAATTTTTCTCTGGATGTGGATTCAAGATGATATCACCCTGTCTGACAGAGACCAGGGAGTTAATGATTCAATTGAAGCTCTAAACGGCAAGTCTGATTTGATTGACGATGAGCCTGATGTAAAAAGACAGCTACACAGGCCACAGAGTTCACCAGAATGGAGAGCAGCCCAGGGCGTCTTTTGTGAAAAGGTGTCATGCTCTTTGTCCTCCGAACTGTGCAAACTAAGTGAAGGTTTAACTTCAGCATTGTTCTCTCTCTCTCTCTCTCTCTCTCTCTCTCTCTCTCTCTCTTTATCTCTCTCATTCATACAAGTTAAGCATTTTCTTATCTCTCTTTTCCTTGCTTAGGTATTGCTGTTGCTTGTGTGATTTTTATATCATTATGTGTACCTTATTTAAAACCAAATATGTTCAGTAATTCTTTACTAGATATATCGTTTATTGCTCTTCCTGGAAATAAAAAACACTTGTAGATTATGTACTTCAATTTTTGATTTCCACATATCTGGTCAAGATTGTGTATATGTCTTCCTGAGAGTGACAGCAAATTTTTTTTGTCATTTGATGAATTTGCCTTTGTCCTGGAATGGGTTTAAAGTCAGATACGAGTGTCAAGACTATGTTAGAGTTGTACTCCACATCAATGGTCCAATTTTACTAATGTCCAGAGTTGTGCATTATCCTCAGGCTTGCCCGTTTTTATTGTTTATCATGATCCTTTTCTGTCGTATGCTCAATAAGTTAAAACGTTTTCGGTTTGTATCAAAATACAGGCCCAAATCTCTTATTTGAAGGACGGTCAAAAATTGAAAAGTCTCCTTCCAGAGTTGATAATATGTATTCAGCTGGAGCTGCTGAATGCCCCTTGGACAGCAATCTAGAGAAATCTTCCATTGCCATAGCCATAGCTGATGATCAGAATAAATTAAGTATTCCTGCAGCTCCTGAGGCCAACAATTTTGATAGGTTTTCTAATCAATTTATTAAAGTTGGCAGTCCGTTTAGACTTCTACAAGACTATGCTTCTGACAATAGTTCAGAAAATGATGATGTTAATGTAATAATAGTTCCACCATCAGTTACAGCTGCTGCTAAAAGTAGCCACAAAGATACTGGGTCTCATTTAAAGACATATATAGGATCTGAGAGTCCCTGCATGTCTGATAAAGAGTCTAAGCTACCGTCTGAATCCAGAAAGCCTTATAAGGCTGAAAAGTTTTCCCTACATACAAAGAAAGAGATTAAGGATACCAGGACAACGTTAATCACAACTGAGAGTCATGAGGCTTTCCAGGAAAAAGATGCACTGGATGGTGCTGGTACTGATGTTGTTTCTAGGAGGGGTAAGTCTCAGGAGGTTAAAAAGGCTACCTTTGAATCAGTTCCTCCGAAGGTGGATGAGTTTGGGAGATTGGTCAGAGACGGTTCCAGTGACAGTAACTCTGATGATTCACGCTATAATAAGAGGCATAATAAAAGAGGTAGAAGTCGAATCCGCAGCCGCAGTCGGTCTCCTCTTGACAGCGGGAGGAGGAGTTCACGCAGGAGAAGAGACAAGCGAAGTCGTTCCCGCAGGTACTTCCGATTGTGTTGCATGTGTATTGTTCTGTTTGGTTGGAAGGTTAATTTAATGTTGACCGAAATTTGAAGTCTTAGGCAGCTGAATTTGCCTGGGTATTTAATTGTCTTTTTATTCTGATTCCATAGAGTACATTATCTGTGGAGAATCATGATATTCTTCTTGACTGTTTGTTTTCCAGTTGGTCTTCCAGAAATCAAAGAAGCAGGAGCAGGTCTCCCACATTTAGGCGTGCAGGTGAGTTCAGAGATGGCAACAAAAGACAGGACAGGCGCCACATTCCAGAATGCTTTGACTTCCTTCGAGGCAGATGCTACCGTGGAGCTTCTTGTCGGTATATGCATCATGAGTATGATAAGAATGACAGTTCAAGGCACCATAGGAGCAAACAAAAGCATCTGGACACGCAGCCTGGTTTGAAAAGTTCTAGGATTAAGGAAGAGACTAAGCATACATCTGCCATGAATCTGCATGATGAAATTAAAGATCACGAGTTGCAAGATGTGCCTATTGCTAGAAAAGATAGTCAGTTGATTGATTCTGATAAAATTAATTGTGAGAGTTCTAGAGTGGCAACTGATACAGTGCAGGTGAAACAAATTCTTCCGGAAACACCAGTGGAAACCACCACTCACATCCCTGACAAAAAAGAATTTCAGGAAGTGCTCAAATCTCATCACCCATCCCCTCAACTGATAAGCAGTGCTGATAATGTGAAGTCATGTGATGATACTTCTCAGGATGTTTTTCCTCTTATGAAAAAGTCTGTAGTCGAGCAAACTCAAAGCAATAATTCTGTTGCACAGCTTCAAAAGGTTGATTGTCCCTCTAAGCAGATGGAAGAATTTCTCGTATCTGATTTGTCACCAGATCGAGCATCCAAGACTTCTCCAATTAAGGTCTATAGTAGTGGACCTTTACCAATTGCAGTTTCATCGACTCATGTGTGGCCCATGAAAAGTTCTAATGGCCAACCACTTTCATCAGAACAGTTTCCATATCTTTCACAGTTGCTTCCTCCTCCACCTTCACAAGGAACCAGTGCTGTTCATGTTCCACAGTTGCATAGAGATTATAACCTGATGCCACCCTATCCACTTCAGTCCACTCCTACAGGAAGTATTCATTCTTATCAAGATTCCTTACCTAACCAACATGCTCAATTATCTCGACCACTAGATTCCACTTGGACATCCTTGCCGCCGCCGCCACCACGACCGTTGTATGATTCATCTATAAATGCAGGAACTGCTGCACGAGATTTTTCTTCACAATTTCAGCAGAATCATTTGGTTCCAAGGAATGACTTTGGTTCTCATACTTCTGTCCGGCCTTATCCAACTGAATTGCCTTCTCATTCTCGGGCTGGTGACTTTCTGCATCAGATGTACCCTCCAGTGCGGGAGTTTCATCGTCCTTTATTGCACAGGGAAGATTTTGGATCTAGCAATCCATCAAGTCAACCATTTGGGGCCTCTGGTCTTTCAAGAGAAGATCAATTTACACATGCTCCTGTGCAGGATTTAAATTCTTCAAACGCTTTTGCTCATGGCAACATACACCCCCAACCTACTCCTCCACGGGAAATAAATATGCGCAAAATGCAAAATTTCTCTGGCGACAATTTTCCTTCAGGTGAACTTTTAAATTCATCCCCACAGATTCAGTCTCGTTCACAGAACCAACAGCCAACCTGTGGTATGCAATACTCTGTTGGTGATAGCATTCTGGGTGTGCCTGGGAAGACTGGTGTAAAATACCATGTAGGTGATAGCATTTTGGGTTTTCCTGGGAAGGATGGTCCTATGTCCCAATACCCTACAGATATTCTGGACAGAAATCAGTCGTCTCACCTTCCTGATTTTGGGGCATCTAGAATTCCCACACATCATAATCCTTACGCAGCTACTTTTGAGCAACCA